CGCTCCCGCCAAGGGTTCGGATCCCACATACAGACCTGTTCCTGCTCACTGGCTGAGCGAGGTGCGGGCGCGACGCCGAGGGTTGCGATCCCGTTGCCGGTCCTGGTCCGGTACGGGCGCGACACTGAGGGTTGCGATCCGTTGCCGGACACGAAAAAAAGACAAAAAGGAAAAAAAAAAGAAGTTACATGTAAATAGGAGCATATGATTTCCAAATCAGATACCTGAGGTAGAGAAATGGTGAGATGGACATATATGTTGAGCTCTCATGTAAAGAGAAAGTAAACCAATTCTGTATTTCAAATCTAAGACAGGCAATAGAATTCAGCTTAGTAAAGGGAAGAACTTTCTAGACATTAAAGTGCCCAATCATGGAAAGACTTTTTATGAACTTTCCAAGTGGAGTCTGAACAGCCATTTTGTCAGGAACATTGCATTGGGAGAGAGATTAGACCAGATGGAATTGTATAGTTGCTATCAGCTTTAAAATTCAGTGATTCTAAATTAGCTTTTCCCAGTCTGCCTTTGTTGATACTTGCAAACTTGGAAAGCCAGTTGTTGTTCTTTCTTATCTTCCTGATTTCTTTGTGCTTTAGATTATTCACAAAAGGAAAATATTTTGTAAATCTATCAAGTATGTATTGAATAATTTCTTACCCATTTCCTGTGACAATTCAGTTTAATTAGCCCATCATTTATTTGAAGGCCTATTATGTGGCAGATGCTATAATTGAGCACTGAGTATACAAAGATGAGTAAAATAGGTACAGTGCCTTTAAGGTTCTTATTATTTAGAAGGAGATACATAAAGAAATACCCTTATATAACAGAAAAAGTCTAGAAAAGAAAATATACATACTCTGTATAAATAAGCAAATAATTCTGTTAGGGTTTAGGGCTCATGGAAACTAATGAGGATTCGTTTAAGTTGCTCCCTTATTAATGGTCATAAGAAAGAGTTAATAGGTGCATGCTTTTAATTCACCAAGCACTGATAGGTGCTTTATATTTTATTGTATCCTCCAACAAGCTGTAAAGGAGATAATATTATCATTTTACAGATAAGGAAATTAAGTTTGAGAGATCATTGGGACAATTATTGGCTCAAGATCACACATATAGAAAGAGGAAATGGGACAGTGGCAACAGAGATTCAAATCAATATCCTTCTATGTTCAGAGCTATAAGGAAAATTGTTTTCCTTGATAAAACACAGATTTTCTAGGACCAAAAATGAGGGGAGACTCTCTTTGTGAAGCACTTCTGGTGTACTTTACTGTTCAGATTTTGTTTCAAGTGACTATTCTCTCCAAGACCCCTCGCTAAACTGCTGCTGCACTGTGCTTGATCCAAAAGTTAAGGGAAATAGCTGTGTTTTTAACCAGTGGCTCATGTGTGAGCCATTAGGAGCTATTGCATAGCTCACAAATTGGGATGTTTAAATAGATTTCCTTAAACAATGAGAGTAGCATGTAACTAGGTAATTTCATTTATCAGCTGTGGCTTACTCTCGAGTTAACAGGCTTTCTGTCACTTGATTTCTTTGACATCTTAGCCCCTACTACTCAAAAGGCCAAGGAAGATGAGTTCACATTAGTACAAAAGTGTGTTGTGTATTTCTGAACTTAGAGAAATCCAATAGTTTGGAGGGTATGGAGGTGAAATGAAAGTATGCAGGGAATGAAGGTGAAAATTGTAGGAAATAAGGACAGGAAAGATAGGCTGTGCTGAGCTGTGAATAACCTCACAGAGTCATGCTAAGGAGTTTCCACTTAATTGGTAGGTAGTGTGGGTCATCATGGCTTTTAAGTGACATCAATGGGACTGAGTTTTAGGATAGCTCTTTAGGATAGGCAGTATGGAGAATAGATTGGGAGGAGGAGAGACTAAATCAGGGACCAATTAAGAAAAGTAAATGTCTCAGTAAATAACAATGATTATTGATAGGAATGATAGCACATTTCAAGAGCTGTTTCACAGGTAGAATCAATAGACTTTGGTAACTGACTGGATATGGGAATTGAAAACAGAGATATCAAAGAGCTCCTAGAAGTTCTTAGTCTGGACTATTGTATGGAAGGTGATGCCACAGAACTGATTGAAGAAGGCAGTATAAAAAACTCAATCATGAGAAGATAATATTGTGTTTTCTTTTAGATATGTTGAGTGCAAGATGGTATCCAGATAGAAACAACTCCTGTGAAGCACAACATATGAGTTATCTAGGAGCTTAGGAGAGATATCATGATAATATAAAGATTTGTGATTCCTCACTTATAAATAATTGTTGAACAAATGGTAGCAGATAAGATTACCCATAAATGTGTATTTATTGAAAAGAACGCTGTGACTAGAACTTGGGGAAAAGTAACATTTAAAGAATTAGCAAAATAAAAGGTGCCAGCAAATGAAATAGTACTCAGAAAAGTTGGAGGAATACTGGTGTCAGAAAGCCAAGTGTGAAAGTTGTCCATGGTGTCAAGATATATTAACATGATAATGATAAAATTAACCTTTTGGCCTTTATGGCAACTAAACTAAGCTAATACAATATGCATGTTAAAACATTAAAGTGTTTTTATCCCTTGAATGTGCGTACTAGATACTAGAAGTTTATTGTCGTGATACATGCATACATATTTTGAGGATACTGTAGTTTTCATATATTTGTGTGTATTTGTATATTAATGCATTTCTGTGTTGGATTTGTTATTTTGTGAACAGAAATTTGCATTCAGCTTTCTTGAGTTGGGTTCGCCTATTCGTTTTTCCAGACTTTATGTAATTGTTCTGGGTCTGACAGTGTCAAACATGTTGAGTAAATTTTTTCTTTAAAGACAGAGTTTTGGATTTATGAAATGTTTTATTTGAAAAAGTTCACTATTGTACAGATATTAGGAAATTAATAAAGATATGTTAAATATTACAATTGCAACCACACCCTAATCATTTAATATGCTCCAGTAATCTTACATATTCACCTAGTTTTTAAAAGACACAATCCAAAGTAATTGTTAAAATAGAAGCAAAAGTACAAGAGTGGACCCTTCAGAGAATGAATTACAGAGGCCTTATCCAATGAGGAGTTATGTAGGGAAATCATTAACCAGCTTTCCTTTCTTTCCCCCCTCCTCTTTGGTTTTGTTTTTTTGTTTTGTGGTAGTCTGACCCTTGGTTATCATTACAGAACTATGGAGGTGCAATGAGACCCCCACTGAATGCTTTAGGTGGCCCTGGAATGCCTGGAATGAACATGTAAGCAAAATGCTATATTACTGTGTTTTAGTAAAGTGTTCTATTTTCTATCTTTTAAAATAACACTAATTTGTAAACAATTTGTGCACCTTAATCTCTGTGTAGTATAAAAATGAATGAAAGAAGCTGTAGTGTTTGCTTCATTTTCACAACATAATCTCTTATGTTGTTCTTCCATTGCATCCTTTGACTTTTTTTCTTTCCATTTTCAGGCACCATAAATAACAACTTTTAGCCTGTTAGTAGATAGTCTCCATATAGATTCTATACAAAAGTATCAAGAGATGCTGACATCACAACCATGACTTAACTCTACAGAAGTACATAATTGAATATTATTAACCTCATTTTAGCAGATACGTGGTAATTCCTAAGAATGGAATTTTTATCTCTTATAAATATTTGTATGTATCTTTACTATTGCTTTGTTGGGATCCTTCTCAACATACAAAGAATTCTCTCTGGTTGTATCTTTTATATTAAAGAACTTTCCACAGTATAGGATGAACTTTCTTTTGAAAATTCAAGATGCACTTAGATAAGGAGTAAACTAAAGGTTTTTTTACTGGAAAGGCCTTTCCAAGCCGAAGAGAGTAGTTTGTTTTGTCAGGCAATATAATACAGTTTCTTAGAGAATTTTTATTTCTTTTTCATTGTTCAACTTGCCCTCAAAGTCCCATGTATACCAGGTGCTTATTAGTGACATTCATTAATTTACCCAAGGATCAGTTCTACGATGTGGCCTAAATAAAGTTTAGCAGAAGTAATGAAAGTGTTCCATGTAGGTGTGTGGGTGTCTACTCACATATATTTTTCATCAGTCCATGTTTTGGTTACTTATATATCAAATTAAACAACTCTGCCATCATTTAATATCATTGAAGGTACACTGTGAAATAAGCTCTTTTGATGTATGTCAAGCTTTTTTTTAAGATTCTGAAACCATTTTCATGGAAAGCAGTTTTGTCTAAAATAGAAAATAGGGTAATAGGTGGGTACCAGCCAGACTCAAAACTAACAGAACAGGGGGAAAAAGTAGGTCAAATTTTCCTATCACCATTTTCACTTTTAAAGTAAAAATGGATAGACATGAAGTCTGACTCTTCTTAAATTCCTTAAAGGCTTAGCCCTTTATTAATGTTGCTGCAAAATAAATGAGTGATATTTTGTGCTTATGTCAAAAGCTGAAACTCTTACCAATAGAGTAGTGATATATATAAAGTTTACCTATATGAGATTCTCACCTTAAAATGCAAGAGGTTTTAAGGAGTATAATTTTGAATACTATGTACACATGTATGGAGTATACATTTTGAATGCTATGATCAACCCAGAATTATCATTAAATATTAAGAATGTATCTAATATTATTTTGTACATTGCTCTGCATTATAATTGGCCATTTGGCCAACTTTAGAGCAGCCTGTTTTTTGCCAGTTACAGAGAAAAAAATTATTTTCATGTTGACCATTTAGAGACTCAAATAACTGCTTTAAATTGTCTAGTTCCTTTCTTACATGTACTTGTCTTTCAGACTCTGATTTCCATTATTTATTACTATGTATTTTCTTTTTTTGGGGTCTTATACCATTTTCAGTTTTCTTTTTCTTTTCTTTCTTTCTTTTTTCTTTTTGGTCACTTTCAGTTTTCTGTAAATTAGGATTCCTTCAAGGACAATGAAAGTGTAAATATTTACATATTTACATTAGTAAATATTTTCCTTTAACAGGGAAACTTCTCAGGTATGGAAGATCTAACCAGAGAGATAATTATTGAATTGATATTGGCCCTAACAATGCAAAGTAAATTTAAAGAGACTAAAAAATAAAAATACATTATTATCTCCATTTCACTCAATAGAGTAACCTTTATCAAAATCATTTCATAATATTATCTTTAAAACAAAGTCTGACTGTGTAATTCAAGCAAGCATTTCTAACTGATATTGTGACTTTCTTCATGTCGTTTCTTTTACATGTTGGATAACTTAAAAATTGAAGGGCAAGGCATTAGAATGGTGTTACCTTAAGATGTGTCTTTAACTAACTAATTTATTTATCTAACTAAAATATTTTTGTTTTGGCAGTTAGGAGGTACCCTCCAGAGAATCACATCTGGATCATTTTTCTTTAGCTTGTCATTTTTCTTATATCCTATGAGTATAATGACAATGAAAAATACCCAACCCTGGTCACTAAAGTAATTAAATACTTTATTCTAACTGGCAACTATATCCCTTTATTGCACAATAAACCGTTTGAACAAAATTTTGATAACTTTGTTGTTAAAAAAAATTGTCATCTCCAAAGAAAATTGTTATTCTGATACAATCTTTCCATCTCCATGGTCTAAACTCAGGATAAATTATACAAAGTGTCATTTAAAAGCAAAATAAAAGTTTATTTTCAATATTTCTATAATTCGTATTATATCTTTAGCAGTAAAAGCTTGCTATTAATTTAAATAATTTAAAGTAGAATTTACAAACTGTGACCAAAATGTAAAAATACATGTTTTAAAGTACACTATGACATATTTTTAAAAGGAAACTAGAATAATGGTGTATTTCTAAATTAACTACATTTTTACAAATTTTTAAATAGTGTAGGGATGCTGTATTAAAGCATATCTAATTCAACTTTGTACACCTTGCTATTTTATTAAAACTAAGATGACAAAAGGATGTCAAAGGATATTCTTGTTCTGTATCATATATTATAAAGTTTGTGCAGTTATTACCTTGAAATAATGATGGTGAAGTACAGAAGAAAATAGAATTTTTCTCTTTAGTAATCATGGTTGCTTTGATTTTATCAAAATCAGCATCCTTATAAAAATATAGACTTCTTTTAAATTCCATTTTTCTCTTCATTTTTGAAATGAGGCTAACCTGATTCTACTATATAACTATGCTTATATAGAAATTCCCATTCAAAATAATGCCTACATTATAGTTTGTAGATTACTTTCTTGATAATACCGATGGCTCTCAAAAGGAGGTGGAATGACTGAACTTAAGTAGTTGTTCTAGTAGAAGTACTCTCTACTCTAACCTCCACTTTATGCAGCAGTATTCGCGAAACTTGAAATATTTTCAAATACAGTGTTAATGTTGGGGGAAATTTAGCTTATCTAGATGAATTATTAATACTTAATCTCATAAGATTAAAATAAGTTTTAATATGAAACACATAGTATGCTGGGACTAGATTTGTATTTAGTAAACAATTGAAATGCATAGAAGGTATTTTGTGTTATTTATAATATAATAAATTTAACATTAGCATTTAATGTTTGAATAAAATGTGTAATTATTTTAACATTTAATTTAGCTCGTTAATTTAATATAGACAAATTTCTAAATGACAAAATATTCCATTATATTTAATACATTTTATATAGTACTTAATCATAATATTTCAAAATTATGAGATCATTATCTACGTAACATCATTGCATATAAATTTATGCCATGATTTGCATATGTGTAATTTTTATGTTGTCAAGATAAATATTTCTCAGTTTCCTTACTATGTTTTATTTAACATTAAACAAATCATGTGGATGGATCTTACTACCCAAATGTTTTACTTCATAAGCACTTGTTTTACCTTAGTTCGTGTCCATTGGGACATTGAATCCTATAAGGGAAATCATCTTTCTAAAGTGTTCTAGTAATTAATTGTAAAATAATCATCATCATCTTGGAGAGACAACAATTTCCAGAGACAATGCAAGTGCCTCTCACCTTCTTCCTATGTGCAAGACTTTGACCAGGTCCCCTCTGGCAAATTATTTTCCCTTCTACTCCTTAAGCTGAATTGGGAGAAAATTCTACTTGGGCATTCCTAATAGAGCCCAAGGACAGGATTCATGTCTTTTGCTGCTGTTTACACCCCTAGGTAATCCCAAAACAAAACTAAGAACAACTCCAAGCAAACATGTAACTACATGTAACTAACTTGGACAGCCTCTTTATCTAGCATTTAGAACTTTAAGTGTAAGGTCCCTAGAATTAAGGACCATGTGGTTTTTTAATTAAAATTTTTTACTGTCTTTGTAATCACAGAGAAAGGGAATTTTGAATGACCCTAATTACAGAGGACTGACTGACAGTAGTCTGCATTTCATAAGGTAGTATTTATTCAGGTATACTTAGGACTAAAGCACGAGAACAAGAAACTTTTATTGATTTAATTAATTGGGCATTGATTTTGTTTCAAAAGCTTTATGTTCTTATAAGCTATGGAATACAAAATATTCTCATCACCCTAAAATGAAGTAATATATTAAGAAACATTGGCATAGATTACCTCCTTTTTTCCCCTGAGATTTACTCTGACCACTGCCTTGAATTAAAATTATGAGAACAAAAAATGTGATTCCTTTATTTAATAGTAACTAAATCATCAATAGCAGTGAAAGATAGGTTGATATATAGATATATATATAAAGTAACAGGTCTGATACTTTGTGATTTTTTGAAAAAGAGGCAACTTTAGAGACCTTTTATGTATGTTTATTTATTTATAGTAAGAACAATCATTTCATACATATTAGTAATATTTTACAAATTATTTCATTTGGAATATGACATAGGCATCATTTATATTGATGTCACAAGATTATAGATTATATTTATTTCATAATTAGTGCTTTTTACTCCAAAAGTGTGTTTTTGTGATATTTAGATGTATGTATGTATATACTTACTACTATTGATGAATACCATTTTTTGTTTATTAAAGTAACAACTTGATATTAAAATGAAACTGGGCTGACTAAAAGTAATTTGACTTAGGAAGAAGACCTTCATGGAATGATAATTTTTTTTTATTTAAGAAATAAAAAGCTGTTAAAATAAATATAAAATGTAATTTTAGTGTTGAATTAGAGCTGCATGGTAACTGAATTGTAAATGTTAATATTTTATAATTGGTTATTACTTATTGTGAAACATTCAAAGAACAGGTTAAAATTGTAACTATCATATTTTTTTGTAGGGGTCCAGGTGGTGGTAGACCTTGGCCAAACCCCACAAATGCCAATTCAGTGAGTATATATTTGTTTTCATTTCTTTTGTACTTGTAATATTAACAAAAACAACAAAAATGTGTTGCCTTGCAATCAGTTGCACTAATCTTTTTTAAAAGTAATCATTCAAAAAAGTTTTATGAATATTTTAGAAAAATACACTTAATTTTTGAAATTATGTAGTTTTTTTCACTTCAAGGTCTAATGTAAACATTCATTCTATGTCAATTAACACTCTTAAAAATAAAAAAGAGTTAGTGTGATTTAAGTATACTGCAATAGCCCATATAATGGTCTATATTTATCATAATATAGTTTGATCTTCTAAAATAACTATGAAAATCAGTAAGTTGACAGATATAATCAGTCTCTATTAGAGGAGACCAAATTATTATGATTAAATTTGTTGTATTAATTATACCTAGGTTTGCTCTCTTGCTGCCCCCAGAAAGCAAATGCACATTTGCATTGTGCCTGTTAGCTAAATTGCCATCCTTGCACATCTCCTTTATGTACCTGACATCCTGGGAATTTTCTTTATGTATTTGTGGCAGTGGTTTGACTGTGCAAATTTTTTTCTCTTAATGATGTCACATAAATATATATACAGGTTAAAAATGAAGCTATCAGTCTTAAAATTAATATGATTTTAATTTCGTCATCCTAGAGATGTTTTTTGTTCTCGACTTTGAAACCTTGAGTTCTTCAATATGTGAGAGAGGTTCTACTGTGTACATTTATGTAGTGTGTGCACCACACAGTGGTGCCTGGATCAACGGAGTCAATAGAGGGCTGAAATACAGCCTGTGTTCCATTTGTGAAGTATGCAGATATCTACCTAAAAGGGATGCCTTTTGCTAATATGCACAAAGGTACCTTCATTGTCTAGCAGTGGCCTTAATGCCAAATAAACATGAAACTGATCCAACCTAAGGTTAACTTAAACATTAAGAAGTTAAAAGTGACATAGGAAGAATCATCCTAAATCCATCGTTATTCTAAAGCAGAAATCACTTTCTTCTTAAGTACACAACTGTCATGTTTTTAGAGAAAAAATAATTTACGTTACCTGCTTCTTAGTTTTAATAGCTGTGATATTTGCTAATTCAATGAAATTATTTGAGGTAGGAAGAATAGATACTGCATCCATTTGGGTCTTCAGTAGACTATTTAATTTCAACAAATCTTTCTAAGATACAGTTTTGCCAGATTACATTGTAATGTGAATACCTTTACTTCTCCAAAATTCTTTCAGTTTGCTTACATGCTTTAGAAGAGTTCATATTTCTGTTTGCTTCTTGCTATTTGCTATTTGAACGAATTCATTCAAGATTTCACTTTAAAATGGCATCTGGCTAGCAGCTCAAGATACACTTCTTTCAACTTCTTAAAATGCCCATAAGGGTGCAGAAAAAAACAATTTTCTATAGCACTGAAAACTCTGCCAATCTTCCTAGTGCCAGAATCTGGAAAGAATTTCTGTTTTCTGCATGTTTGATAAAGTAGATTGAAAAGTGCAACTGATGACCCACTTTAACTATGTAAGCCTTCCCACCTAGAAGCAAGAAGAGCCTTCTCTCCTTCCTCATTGTCAGCTCAGCCAAACATCCCTCTACTGCCCATTGATGGCAGCCAGAGTACAGTTCACACTCATCACTTCCCACCTCCATCAGTACATCCTTCTGTACACTCATCCAGAAACTGTCTCTCCCAAAAGCCATTTAGGAAGGGATGGTTCATTGTACCTAGAGGTATATTATCCAAGTAAAGAGTATTAGAGACATAGATAAGAAGAGAGCTCTGCATTCTGAGGATTTTTAGTTTTTTAGGTACTTCATCTCTTCCGAATTTCATAGAACTGAGCAGTACGGGTAGGAGAATATACTATATCAGATCAGCAACTGTGCATTATTTTAGACCCTGAGAAATACCAGGAATTAGGATAAGAGCTGTGTGCACCAAACTGCTTTCCAACAGTCAGTCTGAAATGGGAGTTTGACCAGCACATGTGTAGGCAAGTAATAGAGTTGAAAGTAGTAGATGTGGAAACATCTACTCTCACTCAAAGTGTGTGAACAGGGAAAAGTACTGGGGGGAGGCCTGTGGTTTTCTCTTCACAAAGGGAAAGTGGTATCATTCTAAGCATGCAAAGGAAAAGCATTTCTCCGAAAACGATTTATAATGAGAACAAGGAAAAAAATCATAGAAAACTGATGACTTTTAGCTGAAACATAGGACTTCTGTGAAACAGAAGTAAAAAAGAGGGATTTTCACCCCAAATCATTATTTTGTAGGGACAAATCATTTATACTATTTTGAATTCCAAGTTTCTTAGATTTTCTCTCCATATTTAATTTTACAAACACTTTTTAATTTGTGTCAATACAGTATGTCTGTGACTCCTCATCTGACTCCTTTGGGCAGTGTATTAAAGTGGTTGGGTTTTTTGTTTTTTGCTGTTTTCAAATATGTTTTGTTCACTGTTATTTTTTTTTCTTTTAAATGTTTATTTTAAAGTAACTTCAGATTTACAGAAAAGTTGCAAGAATAGTACAAAGAATTCTTATACACCCTCCACCTGGATTCCCAAGTGTTAATGTTTTATCACATTTGCTTTGTGATTTCTTCTCTCTAAATAAACATATTTTTTCCTGAACCATTTAAGTTTCCTGTAACTTTATCCCTATACTTTGTTGCCTAAAAACAAAAGACATTGCTTTTCATAATCCCAGTACAATGATCAAAATAAGGAAATTAACATTGATGTAATGCGGTTTTGTAATCTACAGACCTTGCTTAGACTTCACCAATTGTCCCAATATCTTCTATAACAAAAGAAAATCCCAATTCACTTGTTGCATTCATCTGTCATGTCTCTGTCTCCTTGAATCTGACACAGTTCTTCAGTTTTTCTTTGTCTTTCTTAACCTTGCTGTTTTGTTGAATGCAAGCCAGTTATTTAGAATGTTCCATAATTTGGTTTTGTCTGATATTTCCTCATGATTATATTTGGGTTACAGATATTTGGCAGGAGTACTACAAAAGTAATTTTGTTTTTTTCTCAGTGCATCATTTCAGGAGGCACGTGATAGTGATTTGTCCCATTATTGGTAATTTTAATTTTGATCGTTTGGTTAAGCTAGTACTTGTCAAGTTTCTCCACTGTAAAATTACTGTTTTCCCCTTGTAATTATTAACTTGGAGATATACTTTGAAACAATAGTAAATATTCTCTTCCTGCTTATACTTTCATCTGCTGTTTTTGGCAACCATTGATGATTCTTGCCTTAATCTTTTTTTTTTACTTTGTTGATTGCCTAATTCTATCTTTCCTTCTCCATTTATTAGTTGGCTTTCTACTGTAACAAAGAGTTGTTCTTTCTTCTCCATTCATATTAATTCATGTATATCAGATGTACTCATGGATTATTTTGTTCAGTGGGTTTAGAATGCTAAAATTGTCCCAAATTTGACCAGTAGGAACCCCCTTCAAGCTGGATTGTTTGTCCTTTTAACATGTCCCCACTATTCTCTAATCATTAGAAACTCATCTTATATTTTCCCAGCTTTAGTCCTGGAAATAGCCATTTCCCTGGCTCCACTGAGTCCTTTTAGTGGAGAATGGTACAAGGGTACTTCAAAAAAGTTCATGGAAAAATTCATGTTATCTTTTAATTCTATTGCTCCACTAACTATTTGAAATACCCATGTATTTAGAATCCACTGAAGTGATACATATTCTAAGCCCTCAACCAACAGAATTAGGAAATAGAGGTATGTATACACACACACCCATACATATCTGTACCTTTATCTATCTACATGTATTAACATCATGAAAGCAAACTGATGCTTTAATTTCAGTATAACACCACTGAGCTGTTTCTAGCCTTTCTTCTTTTCATGTTTATAACTCGCTTCTCTGAAAGTGTGAAATCTGCCTACCATTATTCATAATATAGTTAAGTATTTAACCTTTGACAATCCACAATTTTGTCATGTAAAAGTGTTTTGATTAAAAATAGTTTTGGGCACTCCTTTACGTGACAGCAAGAGAAACATTTTTAAGGGCAAATTTATATTTTTAATTCAGAATAAAAGTATGATTTTTATTTTTAATTTCCTTGACTCTGAGGATTACATTATTGGCCTCAGATTCTTATTTGGAAGTTTATTTACAAATCTACCAATTCTAGTTTTTCCCTTTTTATCTTTTTCATAAGCAACTGGCAACTGTGCACTTTGGTTTGGCTATACAGCAAGTTCTAATCACTAAGTATCAAGCAGTTTTATTGAAAATAGACACTTCTGATTATAGGGTACAGAAAACCAATCAAACTGGACTCACACTGAAAGAGACTGTTACTGGATCTTGTATCTGAAGAGTTCATATATAAATTTGGCTTTGGGCACATTTGTTTCCAAGGATTTAAATAATGTCATCAGGACCCAGTCTATATTCATCTCTTACCTTCGTTCCCCTCCTCATAGCAAGACTGTCGAATACAATACAGTACATAGCAATACAAAAGAGCACAACTCTTTATCAGTTAAGCAAAAGTATTGGAAACAACTCTAACTGAACTGGATTTGCTTAGCATGGGTCATATGCTCATTTATGAAACAATTATGGCCAGGGGGTACAATACTTTATCCAACAGGACTAGGTCACATGCCCACTCCCTGATCCCTACCCAAGCCGTATAGAGTAAAAATAAAGGCGGTGTGGTTCAACAAAGAAAATTAAATCAGGAATTGTTAGGTGAAGAAGGGATAGATAAAAACAACACATGCTCGATTTAGTATTGTATTCATCAACTCAGTACCTTGACAGGAAGAAGAAAAAAGAAACTACTTTAAGGAAACAAATGAGGATCTATTATAGTGGTTAAACCTAAGGGAAACACAAATAGATTACTCCAAGTAGGCTCTGCTCTATACAAATAGATGCTCATTTTTTTAAAAGAACACTAAAAAATAAGAGAATACTCCTAACTTTACACAGGCACAGATAATAT